GAAAGAAAGAAAGAAAGAAAGAAAGAAAGAAAGAAAGAAAGAAAGAACTGTACAAATGTAGATTTGAAGTTAGCAATTAGCAAAACCCTTAAATTTATAAAAATGGAATGCCTGAATCATATTCCTTAGCTTTTGTTTTTACCAAGCAATGTCAGTATGGATATGGGTTTTAAGTTCATTACTGGATTTTATAAAGGTGTAAAAATATATGCACTATAAATTCCAAAGAGCCTGAAATTTTTTGTTGTTTTTCTTTACTTCTGCCAACTGCCTAGACAGGTCTTGGCAGTTTTTGGCAAGATTTTGGAAGTGGTTTGCCATTGCTTCAGTGATGGGATCCCAAAAATTTTACTACCTGATCTATCGGCATGGCTTGGTGGGTGTGGTGTGGCTTGGTAGGTGTGGCTTGGCAGGGGAAGGTTGCTGCAAAATCCCATTCCCTCCCCACCCCACTAACCTGCTTTCCAGCTCAGTTTTCCTGTGCAGGGCAACAAAAGATCAGCTGGGACTTGGGAAGCAATGAATAGATGGGGGTGGGACCAGTTAGAGGTGCTATTTGCCGGTTCTCCAAACTATTCAAAATTTCCACTACTGGTTCTCCAGAACTGCTGAATACCACCTCTGCCTTGCTTCCTTCCTAAGACTGAGAGAGAATAACCACCCAGCTGGCTTTGTGCCTAGGATGGGCTTCCCAGTTGATCTCCCAGTTTCAAGCCTGTTGTCTTAACCACTACACCAACCTAGGTCTCCTTTAGTTATTACCTCTGTTTTAATAAATGTGCAACAATAGAATTGCCTGAACCATATATGTAAATGGGTACAAGTATTCTATTGTCAAATCTTCAGGAAATAAGGAGAAACTTTCTGACAGTGAGAACAATCAACCAATGGAACAGCTTGCCTTCGGAAGTTGTGGGAGCGTCATCACTTGAGACTTTCAAGAAGAGATTTGGACTGCCATTTGTCAGAAATGGTGTAGGGTCTCCTGCTTGGACGGGGGTGGTGGACTAGATGACCTACAAGGCCCCTTCCAACTCTGATTATCTGTAAATGAGTCCTGTGAATGTATCCTGTCTAGTTGTGGTTTCTGATTATGCTGGAGTACAATCCCATAGAGGGCCCTTCCCTACAATCAGCTGTAGTCTTGTTTATCCACCCAGGTTTATGCTGTGCAAGTACAAAAAGAAGCATGTTATATTCAGTATTGCATTGAAAGAAGTAAAGTCTTAAAGAATAGGGCCAAATTCCTGAATTTGAGGCTAACCCCTATCATCTTGTGCCCCTTAAATGTATTTGTTTACTTTATGGAAACAGGTTATTATCAGAATAGAGCTATAAATAACAAGAGGAATATAGTATATTCTAGCACCA